TATTAATATGGTGAGGCTTAAATCTAATACCTTGATATTTTTTTCTGTTGTCTCCTCTGTTCATTTAGCCCTTCTACCTCTTTTTCTCTATTTTTTGAGGGGGTTCTTTGAACATTTTTATTATTTTCTTTGTTTATTAACCATAGTTTGTTGTGTTGTTAGTTGTTGCTTTAAGACTTATAGTATGCATCCTAACTATCATAGTGTACCTTCAAATGATATAATACAAAGAGAAGAATCTCACAGTGGTATACTTCCAATTCTCTGCTTCTTGTTTTTGTGCTGATTTCATGGTTTTTAGTTTTACCTATTTTATAAAATTCACTTTACTTTGTTATTATTTTTCTTTAAACCCTCAATTATCTTTTAAAGTACAAAACTATACAAAATATCATCTATATTTACCTATTCCATTATCATTTCTGGTGTTTTTCATCCCTTCTGTAGATTTGTATTTCCATTTTTTATCATTTTCTACCTGAGAGATGTCCTTCCACATTAATTTTAATGTGGTTCTGATTGTGATTTATTATTTCTGTTGTGCATCTGGAAAAGTATTAATTTAATTTTTGTTTTTAAAAAGACATTTATTAATTTTTTTCTAATTAGTTATACCTGACAGTTGAATGCATCTGACACACCACACATAGATAAACTATAACTTCTTAGTGTTCTGGTTGTACATGACATAGGATCATACTGATCATATATTATCATTTCTTATATTAATTATTATTAATGTCTAATTCATTCTACTATCCTTCCTACTACCATACCCTATCCCCTCACTTTACTCCCCTCTGCCTAGTCCAAAGTACCTCTATTTTTCTATAGCCCCTCACACCTTATTGTGAATTAGCATCCTCATATCAGAGAAAACATTTGGCCTTTGGATTTGGGGGATTGGCTTATTTCACCTAGCATGATGTTCTCCAGTTCCATCTGTTTACCTGCAAATGCCACAAGTTCATTCTTCTTTAAGGCTGAGTAATATTCCATTGTGAATAAGTAGCACAATTTCTTTATCCATTTATCTGTTGAAGGTCACCTAGGTTAGTTCAATAGTTTAGCTATTCTGAATTGAGCTGCTATGTGGCTATTTCACTGTAGTATGCTGATTTTAAGTCCTTTGTGTATAAACCAAGAAGTGGGATACCTGGGTCAAATGGTGGTTCCATTACAAGTTTTCAGAGGAATCTCCATACTGCTTTCCAGATTGGTTGCACCAATTTGCAGTTCCACCACCAATGTGGATCCTTGCCAACATTTATTGTTGCTTGTATTCTTGATAATAGCCATTCTGACTGGAGTGGGATGAGTAATTTTGATTTGCATTTCTCTAATTGCTAGAGATGTCAATTATTTTTATATATTTGATTGATTGTATATCTCCTTCTGAGAAGTATCTGTTTAGTTCCTTAGCTCATTTCTTGATTGGGTTATTTATTTTTTTGATGTTCAGTCTTTTGAGTTCTTTATATATCCTGGAGATGGGTGCTCTATCTCAGGTGCATGTAATAAAGATTTTCTCCCATTCTGTAGGCTCTCTGTTCATGTTATTGTTTCCTGTGCTGAGAAGCAGCTTTATTAGTTTGAATCCATCCCATTTATTGATTGTTGATTTTATTTTTTGCACTTTAGGAGTCTTTTTAAGGCAGTCAGTTTCTAAACTGACATGGTGAAGATTTTGGCCTGCTTTTTCTTCTATTAGACACAGGGTCTTTGACCTAGTGATTAGGTATTTGATCCACTTTGAGTTGAGTCTCATGAGCGTCAAAGAAAGGGGTTTAAAAAGCATTTTCAAGGAGCATAAAATTTTAAGTTGGCAGTGTCTTTCTCTCAGAACTTTAAAGATGTGCTCCATGTCTCTTTGCTTCCATTAATTCTGGTGAGAACTCTTGTGATCTTTTTTTGACTCCTCTCTATGTGATGTGTCTATTTTTCTTTAGCTCTTTTTAAGCATTATACCAGCTCACTGGTTTGGGGAAGTTTGATTAGATGGTTCTAAGTGTGCTCCATGTGTCTCATCCTCCTTGGACCAGTGGTAATCCATGGCTGCGCATTTCAAAATGAATAGCAGGAAAACAAAACAACACAAAAATGCAAATTGACCATGCAAGCGCATTTCATTACTTTGCTTACACTATATTGAGTACTACCCAATGGCCAAAGCATGACACATGGTCAGCCCTATTTTAAAGCATAGAGAAATAAAATCCATCTATCATGAGCAAGTCCACTCATAAGGTTCATGCTCACATTGTATATGTATGTCAGAAGAGGTCCAGTGCTATACAGATAAACTTAGATGTCCCTGTGAGAAGAAGCCTTATGAAACATAGCATAGAAGATTAGTGTAACTTCCAATACATTCCCGTTGGATGGCTTTCCCCCACTGTGATTTCCATAGCTAATTCCCTTCATAGAAGCACATTCCAGGTCTCTTCTTCCAGTCTCTTTTTGGCAAAAAGAGTACTAAAGATCAAGTTCACCAAGAACTTAGAATGTTGGGACCAGGACCACACTAGATAGACTGTAACGATGAGGTAGGTGAAATGCCTGGGAAAGGATTAGTTTTCTCTTGCTGTGTTAAGGGAAATTACATCTCACTATGTTTCAAGACACAATGATGAAGTTGTAGTACTTCTTTGCCCCTTTAAATCATAATATTTTGTAAACAGGAAATCCCTTTTTGTCCCTTTTTGAGCTCTATGAAAATATTCTTTGATGTATATGTTTTAAGAGATAATTCTCATAATTAAATGGTAAACCTAGTAGAAATTGAGCTTTAAGAAAATAGATGCACATTTTGAAGGCAGTCAAAGAAATACTATGAATATTTGATGACAGTAATTATACAGAGCTATGGCTTTATAGTCATTATGTTGTTATAGAGCTATGTTGTTAATAGTCATTAATAATATTAACATTCATCTAAGTATCCTCTCTATATTATGTAGAGTGCATTTATTGTCTCTTATTTATGGTAATTCTACTAGGTATTGTTACCACTGTTTTATGCATGGAGAAAATAAGTCTCAAAGAAGCTCAGGGAGATGCACATAGAAGGTTGCAAAATTGAGGTGTAAGTACAGATTATCTCAACCGAAGTCTGAGCATAGCCCACTGTAGTGCAATCCTCTTTTCATACGTGATCTCTGAATTTTCATTCATGCTTCCTTAAATATATGAAGGAATAAAGGACATATGTGTGTGTCATAAATTTGTATGGTGAATTTGCACATCCTAGGGGTACCTGTTTGAGAGATGTGAGATCAGCAGTGGCCCAGAAGGCACTGGAGTCATTGGCAACTTGATGTGGTCCTGCATTGCAGCATAGGAATAGGGCAATAGATGGTCTTGTTCAACCTGTTCTTGTTCCTGCAAGTGGGGACTGATATCATTTCCCACTTGATTTTTGTGTAGGGATTATATTAGACAATGCAGATAAAATGCAGTTTGGAGTATATGGTAAAGTCACCATTTTAAAGGCAATAATATTGACATCACTAGATTGCACCAAAGTTCATTGACATGGGTGATGTTCAGATACATCAAGTTCTTAGAGCAATGTCTTGAACATTCTTAAGTGTAAGTTAAAATATATAATTTTAATACAAATACAAAAATTGGTGAAAAACAAAAGTAATGCATAATTTGAATACAGGGCAATAGAATTGGCTTTGTGATTATAATTATTATAATTACTTGTGATTATAATTATTTGTGATTATAATTATTGTAATTATTATAATTATTTGTCCTTACAAAACTTTAAAAAGTATATGATGAGCAATCATGCCATAAAATGGAAATAACCTGATACATAAGCAGAGTTTTCCTTTCACAGTGAGTGTGGATATGCTAAACGAACTATCATCTATTGCACCTTCCCCCCAGATTTTCATCCATTTTTAAGTTTTGAAAAGTTAATGCTCATGACCAATAATAATGGAAATAAATCTATGCTTTAAATATCTTGCACCAAACATTTCTATTTTCATGTAATAATTTACCCATTGGTGTGACCTGTTAATTTCAAGATGACAAAATGTTCAAAAATGAAACTAATCCAATATGAAAAACATTTAATTTGAATTTGTGAGAAAATAACTGCAATTCTCTTCATTGTTGCATAGTTCATGGGTATTATGGCTCAGTTCTACCCTGTACTGTGTAACTTGAGCCTGGGTTAGAAAAACTTCAAGCTCTTGTCTTTTGCCTGTGTGATGATACCACAAGTAAATGAACAAGTGTTAGTGCTTAATATTTTAGGTTTTTGTTACTATCATAGCAGGACTTTCATCCTGTGTCTTATTTGGCTTACCTCTTTTCTAATCAAGAGTGTTATTGTGGGGATCATTTTGCAGAGAATGTTAGGGGGCATGGCTCTCTCCCAGAGAGTTCTCTTTCTTTTCTCCCTCACTTTCCCTCTCATGTACAAACAGTGGAAACCATAATATGCATGAAGAATGGATCATTTGAAAACTAAATTCAGGGATAGGGCACTCTGAGGGGATGAGGCAGGTGAGATGGGGTCAGCAGTACACATTGGTCTCTTTCCTTGGCTTCATCTAGGAACATCACAACAGAGGGTCACTATAATATGGTATAAGTCTTGACCTATTTTATGTCTTTCTTCATCTTTAACTGTTTGACCTGAGTTCTCTGAGCTAACAGTGAAAGAGATCCCTGCGTCTGAGAAGCATTAGAACACCTCTCAAAGACATTATTTGTTGACTGGACTTTATACTAGACAAAGAACAGGAACTGGAGGCTGAAACATGCCCCATTGTGATCTAGATTAGTCAGGAACAGTTAGTTATTTCCTCTCTCACCACATATGAGTGAATTTAGAATTGTATGGATGAGCCACAAAATGGTAAACTATCAGAGTATGTTTGGGGGAGATGAATAATTATCTTAGAGGATATCTCCATGGGATATATCATGAAGTTGAATCAGGTCAAGATGATTCATTATTGGCTTGGCTTTAACAGAATGAAGTCCCTGAAGTGAAGAAAGAGGAGACTTTACTGGATCTGGACTTTGACCCTTTCAAGCCTGAGGTGGTATCTGCAGGTTCTGCTGGAGTGACCCACTCACCTATGTCTCAGGTATCAAGTGATTTATAGATGTTTGAGGATGATATTTCATAAACCTTCATAAGCTCAATAAAAAACAATGACAGCTGTCTTTTTCAAATTGACTATTATCTTTGATCAGTGTTTTAGTCAGCTTTTTCGCTGCTACAATTAAAAGATTTGACCAGAACAATTTTAGGAGAGGAAAATTTATTTAGGGGCTCATGATTTCAGAGATTTCAATCCATAGACAGCAGAATACATTTCTCAGAGCTCAAAGTGAGGCTGAACATTATGGAGGAAGAGTATGGCAGAGGGAAGTGGCTCAGATGATGATCAGGAAGCAGAGAAAGACTCCACTCTCCAGATACAAAATATTTATCTCATAAACACATCCCCAATGAACCGCTAGCTTCAGCCACACTCCACATGCCTCCAGTTACCACTTAGTTAACCCATTAGGGATTAATTCATTGATTAGGTTAAAGCTATAACCCAACCATTTATCCTCCAAACCTTCTTGCATTGTCTCACATGTGAGCTTTTTGGGGACACCACATCTAAACCATAACAATCAATATATATTTCCTGATAGGAAGGGAGGGTATAAAGAGGATCTTATCAATATCAATTATTCTATTTATTTATTTATTTATTTGGTACTATTGATTGAGCCCAGGGCCTTGCATAAGCTAGGTAAATGCTGTACCACTGAGCTATATCCTTGGCCCTCAACATCAATTATTCTCCCTACCTCCCCCTACCATTAGTTTTCTCTTCCCACAGGGCTAGCATAAACATACATTCCTGTTTTCCCAGGAATTATTTCTCACAGAGTAATGAACATTTGCTCTCAAAAGTGTCCAGGCTTCCATGATAATGTTGTATGAGTTCTCCCAATAAAATTTTCATTTTGGCTTTGGGCTTATTATTCTTCTTCCTTTTTTCTCTACTTTATTCATTGCATTTTGCAAGTTAAGGCATATTTGAAATAACCATGAGATTATGACCCAATAGAAAAGTTTTACAGTCTTGAGAGTCTGGACTTAATAGTGTTGTGCTCATCTTCCACCTTGTAGAAATCCCCTTTTGTAATCCTGATTACAGTTTGATCTGAACTAGCCTTCCTTATCCAAATGTATTCTTGCTCATCATTTCTTTGCTCTCAATTCCAATAGTTATTGTAAAAAGATTCTCTGTCAGAGATATTGATAGCAGGTGCTTTGATGACATGCATATGATTCCTCTGGAATATGGTTGGTTTACAATTGTCTATGCTAGTTGAAGGAAATTGACTCAAAATTTGGTGTTTATTGTTTGTTTTTGATGCTGAGGATGAAACCTAGAGTCTCATGCATGTTCAACACATGCTATATCCCTGATATATGCTCCTAGCTCATATATCAATATTTCAGATATTATTGGAGCCTCACATTTGAATTTGGACAATTCCAAAGATGCTAGAATATACTATAAAATAATTAATGAAAGTTTATTGTGAAATTAAGACTTAGCTCAATTTACCGGTCATGAAGCTTTATTGGTACTTTACAGTAAACCATTGGGAAACAAATTGTTCAGTATGGACCTAGATAAATAAGGCTTTTCTCTAATCCATGCTCTTTGTTCTAGAATATGATTGGGTATCTAAAGGCCTCCCTATTGTAAAATAATAACAGTAAAATTCTAATATTATAATAGGTAGCCAATTAACTAGGCCAGACACTAACCTTAAATATGTCTTGCAAAATAATGGGTCTCTTGGATAAATATTTTGGGAAGCTGAACCTCTCATAGGAAATTAATAACAATATGCATTAGAATATGAAGGGCACTTAGAAGTCATGCAACTATAAACACACACTTACAGAACTATTTGTTTAACTTAGAGTTTCCCTAATTTGGTTGATAGTAGAACTGCTTTAATCAAAATTTTCTTAACATTCATTGGAATACTCTCTAAAATATATTTTGGGAACAGTTGGAGTAGTAGACCTTAGCAAGTTTGAGGGTTCTACCTGGTGGTCAAGAAAAGTAGAAAATGTATGTCCAGGTAATCACGTACATATCCTTCTCAAAGTTTTGCTGTTGTATGCAGATAGCAGAATTCTTGGGGGCTTCCTCCACCTTACTTGCAAAATTCCTTATTTTTATGGAAGACGCAAAAGTTTCTGCAGTGGATGCTATACATAGTGGGTGAGATTCCATAGTATTTCTGTCTGTTAATTTAAATCAAGGGAGAAACATCTTTTATATCAACTTATAATTAACCCACAAATTATGCAGCTTTGTGTGAATTTAAGACAGATTTTTTTTAAGGATCTCATTATCTTGCCCATGCTGGCCTAGAACTCCTAGGCTCAAGTGATTCTCCTCCCTCAGCCTCCCAAGTTCTGGGACTACAGATGTACACTACCATTCTCTGCTTAAAGGGTTCTCTCAGAATGAAACAAACAAAAATCCCCACTTTGATTATATATTCAAAGTCCTTGTTCTAAAGGAAACACTCTGTGGGCAGGGCTAACTCTGTGTGTGTCCCTGGAGTCTTTCCTTGGGGCCTGGTAATAAATTTCTCTGGTCTCCTGGGGGCTGCAATTGAGTCATCTCACTGCAGAGTAGTCTTCTTGTCCAGCTCCAATCACATCTCTTCTCTTTCCCTAAAGAAGAAATGCTTAGGCTGAGTGACAGTAAGCCCAAGGCAGTTAGACTCTGCGGGCCTTCCTTCTACTTTACTCAACTTTATCTTCTTTACCCATTGCTGACCTCTTGTTTTCAACTGATGTTCTTGCTGCTAGCAGAACACCTCATTTTGTGATCTCTGCAATGTCCATGTGAGCTAACACATCCTTTCATGATCCTGAGGAGTGATAAGCATGGTGTTTCCTATTGCTGCCTTTCTTTGCAGAAAACACTGGTGCTGTCTGCAATATGCAGAGATGTGTACTGTCTTACATGGTTTATACTTCTTCAGGACCTGTGAAGCAAGGGAGCAGGAACCATCTGTACAATCAGAAAATGCATATTAGATAAAACAGGAGTCCATGTACAAAAAGAGTGTGCCTTCGAATGGAGAGATTCTACTCTGCTGTCTCTTTTTCTATGAGATAGTTTTAAGCCAGAGAAAAATGAAGCTGCATAAAGATAGAGGGCAGGCAGCTCAGTGCAGTTAAACTGAGCCCAGGCCAAGTGTGTTATGTGCATGGTATGGGGGAATCAGTTAGAAACACAGGATCTACTCTCTATTGTACGGAATCCAAATGAAACATCTGTAATCTCCTCTGGAAACCATGAGTTAAAGTGGGTGTGCCAGGCTTTCTAGATTTCTGTTCACATTTAGTGATCTCAAACAAGAGGGTGAACATGAATCTGGCCTCAAAAACACAGATATGAAGGAATGTGGCTTCAGCAGTGATTCTCAATCACAAAGGAAATAAGAAAGAAAGATCTTCCCTAGTCTTCCCACCCACAGTGGAAGTCACTTAAACTATCTGGATTCAATCCTCAGGATCAATAGACTTTATAATTGAAATTTCACTAGTAAGTGTAATCTGCTCCTATGTCCTCGTGGGCACCCTGGTAATTTACATGATTACCAATTATTTTAGCTGTGTGTTATCTAATTTAGCAAATTGAAGAACTACTTTTCTGGGATTTATTTGCCATCAAAATGATCATAATATATCCTATTGAATGTGATGGAGGAATAGCATTAGCAGTGATTAAGATCTCTATTTCTTTTTCATTTTTTAAAGAGAGAGAGAGAGAGAGAGAGAGAGAGAGAGAGAGAGAGAGAGAGAGAGAATTTTTTTAATATTTATTTTTTAGTTTTCGGTGGACACAACATCTTTGTTTGTATGTGGTGCTGAGGATCGAACCCGGGCAGGCAATCGAGCTACTGCTTGAGCCACATCCCCAGCCCAAGATCTCTATTTCTTTAATGATGTGATAATTAGTCTCTATTATCTGGACACCTTGTTTATTTTAATGGTGTGAGTGTGTGTGTGTGTGTGTGTGTGTGTGTGTGTATGTGTGTGTTAAAGTAACCCCATTCATCATATTTCACCTATAGTTTTCTACTTACACAGCAAAAGGCAGATTGGTTAGAATTTTGTTATCCAATATGGTATCTACTGGCCACATGTGATGAGTTAAACTTAAGTAAAATTATGTAAAATTTCAAACTAGTTTATGTACATCAGCATATTTCAAGTGCCCAAGAGTCACATGTGATTAGTGGAAAACATATTGGATAGCAAAGATATGGAGCAGTTCCTTTATAAAAGAAGTTCTGTGAACAGTGCTTTACCATATGCTTAAAAAAAGTGTGCAATTTCAAGAACTTTGATCACCTTTCTGTATTTGTCTTTACATATGTATTTTTTTCAGATGCTTATAATTTATATACTAATAATATTTTTGTATGTTTCCTTTCAGACATTACCCTGGGACTTATGGACGGTAAGACCTTTAATAACTCAATGTATCTTTTTTTTAATTTAAGTTTTTAATTAGACAGTGGAGTGCATTTATACACTTTGATTTATCATACATAGATGGGATATAATGCCTCATTTTTCTGAGTGTACATATTGTAGAATCTTATTGGTCATGCAGACACATATATACATAAAGTAATAATGTCTGTTTCATTCTACTATCCTTCCTATCCCCACATCCCATCCCCTCTCCTCTCTTCACTTTTACCTAATTTAAGATAATGCTTTTCTTCTCTAGTGCCCCCTGCCTCATTGTGAATTAGCATCCACATATTAGAGAAAACATTCAGCCTTTGGTTTTTTGGGATTGGCTTATTTAACTTAGCATGATATTCTACAACTCCATCCATTTACTGGCAAATGCCATGATGATGTATAAAAATTTGGAAATCTTATTACATTTTATTTCACTTGTGATGGAAGGAAGATCCTTATATATTGATAGCATATTCCCCTAGGATAATCTTTAGCTCTCAACACTTCTGTGTATATCAGGAACCTAGAGATCCTGGGAGCCAAAAGTGTTTCAGTGGTCCCAGCTGCTGGATCACTAGGGGTCAAGAATGTGATGTTGTATCCATTTGCTTTTCCTGTGGACCTTGCTGGCCAGAGGAGCAAGTGTAATGAAAGGCATGCACACATGTGGTTGCTTTCAAATAGAATATAGGTCAAGTGTGGATGGGAAAATGCAAGGTGATAGGAAACATTTTTTTTCCATTGTTATATTTCATGAAGCTTGGTTAATAACATTTTAAGCTCTAGATCCACACTACTCTGGATTTGACTCCTAACCCTGTACTTACAATCTTGTGACTCTGAGCAATTTCTAAAACTCTCCAAGCCTCTGGTTTTGTCATCTGTAAAATAAGGATAATGACACCAACCTGAGAGGTTTGTGAGAGAATTAAATAATAATATATTTGTAGAGTGTTTAGCCCTTTCGGTGGTGGTTTGTATCAATAAAAGTAGATATTATTCCTGATGGTGTTTACTCCATTAATCTGATGTTCAAGGATGAGTATTTCCATAATTTAGAGTTGAGGAAGAGATTAGAACAGAGTTTTGTGGTGCTACATTAGTACCATGAAATTAGGAGACCAGTGGCACCTGTATCAAGCCTGGAATTTCTTAGGGAATGCCTTTGTCTCAGAAAAACTCTGCTTATGTGGTCTTAAGAACCCAACTTGAGTTTCATGTTTTCTTTCTTTTTTTTTTTTTTTCCTTAGTGGGTCTTGTGTTATGAAATGACATTGTTACTTTTTCCCCTTCAAAGAATGATGGTCATCCTCTTCCTTTCTGGAGCATCAGGTTTATACTGCATTCTTTAGCATTTTTGGAGCATCAGGGAAAGCTCTCAAGAGAAGAGCTAAAGCTATCAGTTGAAAGGTTGAAACCACCTGTGACTAAGTTATATTTTTTTGTAGTGAGTTGGTTTTACTTGATGGATGGGTTGACATTCAGGGTGTTTGAATTCTAGCCTCAACTCTATATTAATTTTCTTGGAGATTAAGGGAACAATGCAGAGTCTTTAGTCCTTTTTTTATTCCCATATTTCATACCTTTAGTTGAAGTTGTAAAGAAGTTTTCTTCCCTAGCTGGGAGGGGTATGGTGAGGAGGAAGGTATTATATAAAAGGAGCTTCTGACTATTTCAGAGGACAAACTTCTTAGGAATAGTAAGAATGCACGATGAACATAATTGCTCATAGTTCTTAATCTTTTCAACATCCCAGGGATTTTTCCTTGTGTGCAGAAAATGACTTCTGGGTCCAGGGAAGAACATCAGGAGAGTCCCTCAGGGAGTCACAGTGGTTAATATCAGATCATTCTCCATCCATAAACCTACCTCAAAAGGTGAAACCAAGTGAAAGATGAGTTTGGGGAAGATTTTCTTCAGATAACTGTGTCAGAGTATATGATACTCTGTAATTTCTTGACCTCGAGTGCTTGATCTTTATTCTAGTGTTCTCAGACTTGCTTGTTTATTTGAAATTTGCATTTCAGAGTCTGCTACAGCTGAAGTAATGGACCAGCTGTAAAACATCCTTGCTAATGCTGAAAAAACCACAGAGACTTTGTGTTTCAATTATACTTTTTCCACAGCAGTCTTAACTTTAGAACAAATCTTTTCTTCTGCGAAATCAGTTGTCAAATTGAATCCCAAACCAAAAAAAGCAATAGCCTTCAGCAGAATATAGTTTCTAAATAGCATAAGATTTTAATTTGCCAGTGAATTTTTCCCCTTCTTCTTCTTCTTTTTAATGCATACAGACAAGCACTGATCTGGTACAGCCGGTAAGTAAATATCCAGAAAATTCTGGAATTTAAAATATTTAACATTGTTTATATACGAGGTGAATTTTAGAATGAACTTTTTTTCCCCATGGAATTTCTAGTCATAGGTTTAACCTTAAGTCAACTAATTTAAACACTTTCTAGTTGTTTAACTGGTGCTACCCTAATGAAGAGCTTTGTGTTTCTCATCAAATCTTACCATGGTCTATTTCATCTTATGTTTTCTTTTTCTTTGCTTTTCTGCATATTTTAAAGACTGACTCTTCAAAAAGTCTTTCCCTGTGTAACCAGATCATGGAGGAAACTCCAGACAGTGGGTTGGCTGAAGAAATTCAAAGATGTCAAAATGACATAGTTGCATTTACTTGGGGCCCTGATGCTAGTACAGACAGTGTCAGCCAGGAAATTAACCCACATATGACTCAAGAAGACTTTGCATGTCTCTCTGAAGCAGAGAAAGACATGGGATTATCCACCATAACACTTTCTTCTGCTGACTGGTCCACTGTAGCCAAACAGGGTGAGCATGTCCTGGGGCCAGCCCCTCCAGGTGGAAATGAACCGCTGTCCCCAAAGCCCGTGAACAGGGCTGGAATTACCATTGCTGCTACTATGGAGATGGAACAGCCACGTGAATTACTTGATGCAGAGATGCCAGCCATGGAAATAGCTGGCCTGCTCAAAGAAGGTCATGAAGATATTAAAAAGTCAGATGAAGAAAAAGAGAAACAGAAGATAGAAGATTCTGTTTGGGCAGGTGTGGAGACATGTCAGCAGGTAGACACTGGAACTGTTGATAACAAGGCAGTAAATGATACAGAGGAATTTGAAGAAAAAGAACAGGAAAGTACAGGAAACAAAGCAATAGATTATCCCCAAACAATAGCAGAGCAGGAGCAGGAGGCCTTCAAAATTAGTGAAATGGAAACTATGAAAGATCTAAGAGTGAGTTGTAAGGAAAGTGTAAAAACCTATGAAAATTATTTTGAGAAAACTGACCTATTAGAAAATGACATGAAAGAAGTAGATATGAAAGACGAATTTGGTAACAGAGACCAAGGGCCACATGATGGGTTTCAAGTAATAATCAATAATTGTGAAAATACAGAAGATTCTGAAGCTAAACCTGCCAATCATGCAGATAACTTGACTCTACCTCTCCTCCGGACCAACTCTGCATCTAATATTGAAGATGCTGGTCCAGAGGGATGGGATTTAACTAGAAAAGACATACAGAATAATTTAATAAACCCTTCCAACCATGCGATGATATATTACCCAGCACAGGACAGGGCAGATGTTAAAGAAATTCAGTGTGAGAATATGTTAAATACTCCTGGGTATGACAGGGATAGCAATCAGGATGTTGTTTTATCAACAAAAGTGTCAGTTCAGTCTGGGATGAGTCTTAATTATTCCCTGAAAACTGATGCAAACAAAAGAGATCAGTATTCATCTGAGGGAAAAGATTCATTAATAGAAGGGTCGGAAAGCACAACAACTGAGAGATATAGTTGTTCCATTAACTTGCCAAGAATAGCAAACACAGATCCAGGTCAAATCTGTCAGCCAACCTTAAATTCATCAGTGAATAATATGGATGTACCAGAATTCCCTGGGATACCAGATAGCCAAGCAAGTGGATTTACCAATTGTCTGGATTCTAACAACCACCAGCCTGTAAGAGATATGAGAGCCATAGATAATTGCTGGGAACATTTAAATGTGGTTGAGACTAAAACAGATGTAAGTGGGGAACAAGCCATTGCTAGCTGCCCAGAACAGAGTCAGGAGATAGCTAGACCTTTGGTTCTGGGAACCTCCTGGAACGCTAGCACTGAGAGTTCTGATGGTTCCCAAGACAATGACATCAACAACTCAGATTTATCTGAAGATGAAATTGCTAACCAGAGATATGGATTGTTGTACCAAGAAATAGAGGCTGATAAAGACGAGGTACTTACCCCAGTATGTAGCATAGACTAGCCAAAGACTTCTGTAGGATCCGTTTTTCCTAATGTCTCTTACCTACTTCATTATCCATCACTATCTGCTTGGAGGTCTAATTGATCTCTTGGACAGATTGTCATGTACCTCTTCAAATCTGTGCAAACCAATCACAAATAGGTTGACCAAAAAAAAAAAAAAAATTCTCCCAAAGCAGAATAACTACTATTGAGAATTGATAAGAATCTTTTCTTACCATTCCATTCTCTGAGTCCATTATTTCTACTTTCATTTTTACTTAGTAGTAAAAATGAGCTAAGTCACAAGCAGTACAAATTTGCTTACTATTTCTGAAGTGGTTCTACTCTAATAAGAACACAGGAAATGTTTCTACCCAGGCCCATTGAAATTGTCCCATAATTGCTGTTCATTAAAAAGATGGATTATAGAAATGATTGAAAAGCTCCATCTGGATTTTAGGTACATCCTAGAAAGAGAGCTATTTAACCCCTCATGGTTCTTCTCTGTAATCATCTTCTCATTATTATTAAGAAAGTCAGTTTTCCTTAGCACTGAGCCACATCCCAACAATAATTGTAAAATTAATCTTTCATTTTTTGTCAGCCTATTTAAAATAATACAGCATGGTCTTTTACATTTCCTCAGCACTTTCATGCACAGCAACCTTTTGTATTATTTTAAAATGTGTGGTAGTTATTATTCTCTGACTTGTCTAATGGTCATTTACTAATCTTATCAAAGTGATGGGAAAAAAAATAACACACTCTGATTTCCATTTCTGTCTAGGCTTCCGGTGGTTCATTTAATGGATTTACCCAGGTAAGGAATCTGTTTTCTAACAAGATCTATCTGTTGAGAATGCTGCCAGTTTTTTCAATGTGACTCTATGCCACTGGTTGAATATAATGAAGAGCATCAGAACAAAATTTGACCCCACTATTTACAGATGGAGTAATGGAGACATAATAATTAGCAACACTGTAGGAGTATTATGATGAGATATGAATACAGGGCACTAGCCCGGCATACACTAAGTTCTCTATGACTTCAGCTAGCTAATACTTGTGTTTTTAGTTATAGTGTGAACTTTTACTTTTTGCTGATTGATCTATTAGTAATTAGAATTTGTCTTGATCTGAGAGATCCCCTGAATTCAGCTGCTGGAAAAGAGTAAAGGGGATTGTTTTGAACTAAGGAGATGGGTCTTTAGAAAATATCAGACTATTTTAGGAGCCTTCTTCTAAGATTTCATAGAGGAGCCACACAAAATTCATACATAGAGCCTTCCCTCTTCATGCTTCTTCAGCAAAACGCCATTGGAAGATCAGAAACCACGTATTGACTTTGTCCAACAAGGCAGCATTTTTCTTGGGAGTCTGAGAAGGAGGAGCCACAAGATGGACTGTCCCATCCTCTTTATAGGTCCCAGGGGATAGCCAGGTGTAATCCATATAAAAGGCAGGCCTTGTGGCTATCAAGCTCCTGGTTTTGATTCTGACAACCTATTGAAGTATGACCTCAAATAGGCTTGTCTGTGATGAATGCTTCATGTCAAAATGTAAGACATGCACATTTTCTAATAATTTTAGCATTTAGAATTATCTAACACATTCATAATATATTCATAAATTTAATTCTCCTTTTAAGTTTTTCACTATTGTTCCCCATGTTACTTATAAAAAGATTAGACCCACTCCTGTATCCAAATAGAGATACACATAATCACAAAGACAGGTGACACAATGCATCTCTTTCATCTTCAGAAACCTCTTTTGAAAGGTTTCATCTCAGGGATCATTATTCTTTCCTTATTGTTTCAAGTTTATATTTCTAACGGTTATTAATGCACATAATTTTAATAGTAATGAAGTTTTACGCAGGTTTCCATTTTAAAACTTCCGACTATCATGCGTCCATTTCTTGTTTCATAGAAGTATATATATTTTCATCTCTTTTTTATTTAACACATTCTATAGTTTTACCCTGTTATCAGTGCATGTGATGTTCTTAATGCTACATCCTTATTTCTAAAGCAGTATCTATTGACTCAATCTCTAGAAGGTAAGAAATTACAGTGTGTTCTCCTCCTACCTCCAAGTTCTCTTCTGCATCTTCCTCTGATGGAGTTCCTTCATAGTCATACAGTCATTTTGTGGCAATATTTTAGTGACATAAGTGCTAACAGCCAAGTCATGAAGTTTACATTTCCATTTTATGACAATTTTTGTTTTGTTTTGTTTTGCTTTAGAGGATAATTGTGAATCTTGTAAGTTTGGGTGTTGATTGGTTTGCTTAGGCTTCTAGGTGCCAGGGGAACCCCCTACTCTAGAACTATAGAAACCTTTTCTCATTTTGTTGAACTATTGGATATGGAAGCAGTATCATCTTCTTGAAGAAATTAACTCTCCTTCTGGGGCTCCCTGTAGTTGGAGCTGTGTACTCTGAGCCTATAACCTGCTGTTCACCCATGATGTTTATCCCAGGATTACCTTCATCCCTCTGGGCTGTCCATTTCCTGCTTTCTGGATGCAAATCACCCTTATTTGTGGTTTAATCCCTCATTTGCATACAGCACATCCTCCAGTAACTTCTCAGGGCAATGTCTGTAGGAGGTATAATCATGACTCTACACATCTGAAAATGTCTTCATATACCTAATGAACTGTTAGTTTTGATATTATATGAAACGTTGTAAATTGATTTTCCTTTAGAATTTTAAAGCTATTCCTCCACTCAGTTCTAACTCTTAAATGTTGCCTTTGAAAAGCATATTATGATTCTTGAAATTTTGTAAGAAACTTTCTCTCTCTTTCCTTCCCCACATTCCTCTCTACTCACCTTCCTTCTCTCTCTCTCTCTCTCTCTCTCTCTCTCTCTCTCTCTCTCTCTCTCTCTTTCTCTGGAGCAGTAGAATTTTCTTTTAAGCTCAGTGTTTCTTAAATTTTACAAGGATGGGTTATGATCTGAGTCTCTTTTCATTCATTGTACTAGATCCTTTTAATCCAAAAATTTGTATCTTTGGGTTTAGGGGAATTCTGAAGTTAATTTTTTTTCACTGATGTTTCTCTTTTGGTTTTCTTTTTCTTTCATTCTTCAATGCTTCTCCTTTTCATATGATATCTTCCTGAACCAGTCCAATTACCCTTTTCTTCTYATTTACTTTTATCCTCTTTCTCTGCTTTCCACCTCTTCCAACAGATCTTTCATCCTATACGTTTCTCATTTTCCAAGGGCTCTATTTGTTCTTGGATATTCGTTCTTCAATAGCATCCTCTTCTTGTATTATGAATGCCACATCTTCCATTTTATTTCTGAGGATATTAGTAACCATTTTTGTAGCTATATTTTTTTGCATGAAGTCTTTGTTTCTTCCACTTGCATTTTTTTAAAATTCAGTTTTTCCTTTTCATTTTTGAGGCTTTTCTCAAATCTCTGGAATCTTGACTGAATACACATATTTAATGGATGATAAGAAACTGAGTAGAAAATTGTATAGGTTGGTAGGCCTCATTGACTATGGGCATTGTTGTAGGACGTTCTAGCTCACATTTTCTGTTGAGAGCTCCTAATGTCAGATTTTTTAGAATTTTTCTTTTAAGCTGGTCAGACTCCTTAGGCAAGACTCCTATGGTCTCCTGTTTTGATGAGTACAAGCCTGGCTGTACTGTAACCGAAGACACATGTTCTCAATACTTATTATATAAATGCTCACTTATTCTTTCTACTTTCCTAATATACCCCTGTGTCTCCCAGCCCAGAACCCCACTGTTTCAGTCTCAGCAGAAAGTTTTCTGCTGGATAGGAAGGCTCATGCTGTGTTTTCAGAATAGGTAAGAGTATTTTGAGACTTAGTCACTTAATTTTTTTTTTTTTTTAGTTGTAGATGAACACAATACTTTTACTTCATTTATCTATTTTTGTGTGGTGCTGTAGATCAAACCCAATGCCTCATATATGCTAGGAAGCACTCTACCACTGAGCTACAGCCCCAGTCTTTGGTTACTTTTTGATAGACATTCAACCAGTTCCCCTGTCTTGAGCAGCCCCTCTGCCTCCTATTTCCCTTGGTTATCTACACCTTGAATCCTTGATCCTTTGGGAGCAATGAATTGGGTTGATTTGTGACATTTCTGCCATCATCTTTCAACACAAATCATTTTGGATCCACCAAGTTACTTAGTGCTTATTCAATGGCTTTCCAAATCAAATTTTGTTAATTATCTTTCTTCCCATTCTTCTCATCCTTGTGTTGTAATGCCTTTTAAAAAAATATCCCTTTATAGTAGTTTAGATTCTGTAGGTAACAAAATTATATTACACATGTTCAAATGACCATCTTTAACCAAAGTCTTTGACTCCTCTTTTCTGTGGGGAGCCCCTGATGTCAGATTCTTCAGGCATATTTTTTCCCTTGAGATGGTGAGATTGTCTGGGAAAGACTCTTTGGTCTCCCATCCAGAAGGTACAGAGCTTGGCTACCAGTACAATGGGAGATGAGCCTTGTATCAGAGACCATTATTCCTTATGATTTCTTCCAGCTTGAAGTTTCAGATCAATGAAAATATTTTTAAAATGTTTTAAATTATAACACATAAATAACCCTTCCAGTTAAGTGATATAGTGAGAGTGCATTGCCATAATTTTTAAAAGTTTGAAGGTTAATTTCAGGTGCAAAGCTATTAACTTCTAATTTGGTGTCAACATCCAGAAGAGAATCTATGCAAGAAAGATGCCCCCAAAGCCAGTGCCCTTTGCTTTTATGACTCTCACAATGTACTGTTAACCAAGATTTATATTTAGAATAACTCCTGTTAATGTTTAATTTTCATTTTTGTTTCAGTGATTTTAAAAAGGGACCTTTAAAACTTAGAAATGTATTCATCAACACAATTGACAAGAGCTAATTTAAATATCTTTTAAAGTATTGTTTTCTCCCCATTTTCAGCCCCAGGATACTTCATTATTTACAATACAGACAGATCAGAGTGTGATTGGCGGCTTGGTAAGTTGATGTGTGTCTGTATCTTTGGGAAGTTGTCAGATACCACCAGATGTGGTAATGCTAATATAAACTGATCATTCTGGTTTGTCTAGAGTTTGAATATCTAGAATGTGATTTCTGCAGCTCCCTCTTTTGTAGAAATCAGGACGGAACACATCTATAAAATTTTACTGTGATTTTGAGTTTGTTTACTCATATTTATAAAAGGCACAGTGTTTCTAGCAAAAACCAAAGTCTTTTCGTTATAGGCCTCAGTGGAGAACAGTGGATCCATCAAGGATGTGAATATTTCCATGTAATTGGAACTTCAGCTACAGGATTGGACATGAATTTGCTTTAAGAATTTATGCTTCAAAATTCTTCTTATTATTATTTTTTTTATTTTGGAAATAAGAGCACCCTGCTTCTCATCTCATCCCTTCATCTTGTGAGTTATAGAAAGAAGGAATGTAGAGTGTGGAGTTGTGGTTCCTAATTCAATGAAAAATAAGAGTAGAGAAATCTTAGGGAATGAGCAGGAGGCAGAAAGGGTTAGACTTGGCATTAAAGAGATTCTTTTCTAAGATTGGTGTTGCAGTTACCATGGGAAGCCTTTTCAGAAGCATCTTACCAGAAAGCTGAATGAAGAGACTTTGAGACATGTGATTTGTGAGCTTGACACTGCTGCATTACAGAAGACTTTGTCTCTGTGAGGGTTAGTTCATGAGGATTATTTGCAACACTATGATTTTCCCATGTACATAATGTATGATTATCCCAGCTTCCACCTTTTTCTCTGGAAACTTGGAATTAAGTTTAAGTAGAATGAATTTTTCATTTTAGACTATTTCAATTTTAAGATGGGAATTCTGTTCTAGACATTTGTCTTAAAGGTTAATTTGAGAGTTTTGCAAGACAAGTGTGTCTCTACTACCTTGCTAGAAGATTGTTATACTTTTTTTTTTCCTGCCACGACCAAGTTAAATCTCTACGGCCTGCAAATAAATATTTGGATGCTTCCAAAAGAAATTATATGGTGTCAGTTTTGGAGTCAGAGAGACTCATTCTTCATGTTCATTGATGAATCTCAGCCAGGGTAATGGAGATGAAGGATGAGATTTTTAACTATCAATTGTGAATTGTTTAAGAAAAATTGAGAAATCCTAGCATAAAAACCAAAGACAATTGGTTAGAATTAAAGTGACACTATGACTTTGATGAAGAAGATCCAGGCCCAGAATCCTATGGCTTTTAAATTTCTTTGAACATCTCCCTGTCCTCAGTTAGTTGTAGGAGCTTTCATGCCTGCCCTTCTCCATATATCTTCTCTGAAACAGACACCATGCCTCTTCTTTCCCTTGGGAACTTAGCTTCTCGTTCCCAGCAATAGAGGTGCTGCTAACACTATGAAATCACAGTAATCCTATGTTTCTCAGTGTATTGTGATTATACAGGATCTTTTTAGGAGCAGGAAAACTCCCTAAAAATAATGTTTCATTGACTGTTCTGAGAAGGTAGGCTTGAAAACTAGTACTCAGCTATGCATCTCCCAGCCTGCATCTCATGGCCCCACAGATCATCCCTAAAGTACAAGATGAAACCCTTTTGAACCCGAAAACCTTGCTCAGGGCTCAGAGCTTCCCCAAGGCCCTTTGCAATTCTCTCTAAAATAGCTCTCCCAAGATCTGAGAAGGTAGGCACCATATTGAATTGTGAATACTCTTAATTCATTCTTCCATACCATCTTCTCTGCCTCTGCATTGACCTGGCTTCATCTTATCACAGAGGACTCCAGAACCTGCACAACAAGGCCACACTATCAATTTTACTCTAAGGGAAGCATTCCATTTTTGAACCCCAGACAAAACCATTGTAGCATTCTGCGGCCACCAATATATTTAAATGGTCTCTCTAGTCTCTGAATGTATAGTGACTGCTACTTCAGCTAATAGGAAATCATTACTAGCACTCCCAAATAGTTTACCATGATATTAAGTCATTAGCAGCATCTGTCAAGAGAGATATCCTGTAGAAAAAAAAAAAAAGAGGAGGGTAGGGTTGAGGCAGGGCACAATTCCTGTAGAACTATTTAGATCTTTCCACAAGATGTTGCTTACAATTTATATTTGTTTTTCTCTCTATCCTGACAGAGTATCTACAGATCTTATGCTACCTTAAAAGAAATAGAAGACACATCTATTTCTAAATTAGAATAGCAGATTTTATGGGCAATCATGCTTCATTCTTACTTATCATTCAGTGAGCTACATTTATCTCCTTTTGATTTAAGTTGCAATGTCATAATATTTGGTATGATATGATAATATGGTAAAATGTGTTGTGGCTTAAGAGGACATAATCAGACCTATATCCTCTGTACGGCCATTACATTGTTAAATTTCAGCAAGCAAATGCAATTAGACTTATTTATAAAGTCACCTTAGTTATTCTTGCTACAGCATACAGTTTCAGAATTTTCTCAGACTTCTAGAAACCCAAACTCTGATGCAAACAACTCTTTTGCATTTTAAATTATCCTTGCATTTCTTTAAATATAGAATGATAAATGTATTTGACTCATACTTTGAAACTTCTCTTGGCTTCAAATCTGCCTTCAGACTTCCTCCACAGCATAGACTCACCTGCCAGGGAATAGCACCTGCCCAGGGAATTCAATGTGCTTTGTCAAATAGCCCTTTATGTCCTCCATTGTGTAGGTCATTTGATACCACCCTCTGGAGAAAATTACCTTGACTTCCCAGGTGGAAATATCATATCCTGAACCTTTATAGCATCTGCTATGAAAACTTGTTCCATTATGAAGATAATTCTTTTTGAACAATAAAAGTGAAGTCTTTTCTCATAAAGAACACCTGAGATCATATTAGAGTAAATTCTATCTCACTCTTTCTTAAAAATTGTGTCAGACCATCTCTTAAAGGTTATAAAAGCCTATAAAAATATCGAATCTCTGCATACTTGTCTACCAATGTGTCTATTAATTTTACTGTCCTTTGAAAAGATCAGTGGTGTGGTCAAGGCATGCATCACAATAAATGGTTTGGTGGAGGGCATAAAAAATGTAATTTATATATTTATCCAACACTAGGCAATTCATCATTTATTTTATATAACCTCAGCATAAGTTTTCTTGTAACTTCTCCACGAAACTTGTCATGGGCACTGACTTAGGTAAACATACAAGAGAAATAGATGTAGCTTTTGGTTACTTAAGTTGAGAATCTCTTAGAACTTAACTGATTTCTCCAAAGTATTAACTAGAGTCTTATTACTATTCTTGGAACATAATTTAAAATTTTTTTTTGCAATTTAAATGGAAAAGTTCTGATGGAAAAAGATCTTAATCACCCCTCTAGTGTTAATTTATTTAGTGAAATGGTCATGCTAGATAAATGTTTATTACATTAATGACAAAGAGAGAATATTGGCAGTAGCTGTGGTGATATACATTAGCTATGGCATTTTTAATGGTCTGTTGTTATTTTATAGGGTTAATTTTAAAACAAAAAGTCTTGAGCTAAGAGATGCCAGAGATCTGATTCAGTATATAATTAGAATTAAGATGATACGTATGTATAGAAGTCTCATGGGGAATGAAAAGACCTCACCTCACCACACAATTAAAAAGATCAAATTGATACCATGGAAAGTACTGCTCTGTGGTTTTTGAAGAATTAGTTTATTGTATGAATTAAATGGATTGTGAAGGATTTTGTCAGAGAGAGAAGGGAAAGAGGGATTATTTTAGAAATTTACAACAGACAAACAAAATATTTATAGTTGTACTTCAAGCAGCCATGAGGCTAGGCCTGCTGTCCCCTAGCTTTGGAGATGGCATCCTAACTTCATAGTGACCTATAGAATCGAATGAATACATTTTAATCTAAATATGGGGATGGCCCCTCACTTTTTTTTTTTTTGTACAATACATGTTAACAGCATTAAAAGATCCCAGAATTGTGTTCCCTGAAATTTCTTCCTCACACCTCTCAACAAGCAAATATGGGCCCTCCTAGGGTTTCTCTGTCTCTCCTCTAAATAGCAGAAAGTATCATTTTAAGAACTTTTTATAGCTGTCAAAAAGAAATGAGTAGCCAAAATTGTGGTGTTTGCCTGACTTCAATGAAATGCATGTAGTTCTTGGTGATGGAAACAGAGAAGCTTAACAAGATTCATTTCTGTAATGGTCCATTATGCCAAATGGGAGGGATTTTTATCTGTTTCCAGCACGGATTTAATGAAGTTACTAGCTACCTATAGGATGACAAAAAAAAAAAAACTTTATTATCTAATATTCTATAATGTTAACTATTGACATGTTGAATCTTTTTCCTCTAACCCCAAAACAAACAATCCAAGGCTGAATCTGAACCGGCTCCACCCTCAGAGCCAAAAGCAGAGGAACCTCCTGCTGCTGCTGCACCTGCTGTCAGGCTGGACCTTGGACTGGAAACTAGGGCTGAGGAGCCAGTGGAGGAGGCAGTGGTGAGAGCAGTCTTTCTTTCCCATCCATCCACCTTGCTGCCATCACCTTGCTCATCTCCTGACCCTGTGTATCGCTTCCCATCCATGCCTCACTTTGTCCAAACAAGTTTCCTATCAGTCATGGTTCCCCCAGTTCAAGTAGCCTTTGTTACTTTGACAATGAAACTACATGCCTTTTCATTTTATTAAAAACAGGAAGATACCCAGAGAGCTGAAAGGCAGGGTGGAGAGAAGCAGAAAACTGCAGTGTTGCCACAGGCATAACTCTTTAAGAAGGGCACCTTGATTCTTTCCGATACTCTCCCTTTTGTGATATTACTTGCAGGGAATCAGACCTGTCAATTCAGTGCTCCACCTATGATGGCTGGAGACCCATCCTTAACTAGGGACCAACTTATATGTGATAAAAATAAGAGTAATAACTTTACAGATTGTGTGATCACACTAATTGCATATAATGTTAGTTTTGTATGTTGGTAAAGGCACAGTGAGGGACTGAAATTTCATATTCCAAACCCATGAATTTATTAGGATTTCTATTTATACAGCTAGGAATAGTGGAAATCAACTCTGTTCTGTCTCTGAAAATAATGGGGACCTTGAGGTTGTATGGCGATCCATCTGTCTGTCTGGACACCTGCTTTTACCCTGATTCATGCTGCTATAAAAAAAAATTCTCATTGCAAACTGGGATGAGATCTAATATGCACCAAGTTCATGAAATATAAAGTTGAAAATGCCAGTGTTGAGTGAAAGATATATATTTATGAAATTCAGTAAAATGTCTCTCAATAATGTCAATTAGGGTGCTATTTATTACAGCTTTCACAGAATACACAGAAATAAGAAAAACAATTTCCCTATTACTGAAAGTAGGATTGCCTAGGTTAGATGCCTAGAAACAGGAAATTTATATTTCATGTTACTGCATTAGGTCACTTCACTGGGAAAAGGGTAGTTCATTTATCAAATCCATAGTTTATAAGTAGAGAAATAAATAATAGGGATAGATAGTGATTGGACATAATAATTAATAATGACTCAATTATCGTATTTTCTATTTAAAGACATAGAGTTGGATCTAGTCTTGTAGGGAAAACAAGAAATGTGTTCATCTGGGGTAAGTCGATACACACATTTGTCTTTTTTTTTTTAAAGGAGAGAAACTTTTTTGTAGATGGACATAACACAACGCCTTTAGTATTATTTTTTTTTATGTGGTGCTGAAAATCAAACCCGGGTCCAGCCTGTACTAGGCAAGCGCTCTACCGCTGAGCCACAATCCCAGCCCACATTTGTCTTTTTAATCACTGCTATAATTAAGGAGATAGTTGATTTTAAAATGAATACGCCCAGTGACAGGGAGTTATAAAGACACTGCTTTAGTCAGCTTTTTGATTGTAGTGACAACAAGACCTGACAAGGACAATTCGAGGAGAAAAAGCTTATTTGGGCTCTGTTTCAGAGGTCTCAGTTAATAGATGACCAACTCCATAGCTCTGGAGCCAAGATGAGGCAGAACATCATGGCTGAAAGGTAGGGTAGAGAGAAGCAGATCAGGAAATGGCAACAAAGAAGGAGAATGAGAGCTCTTATCACCAGGGACAAAATATTAACCCCAAAGGCATGTCCCCATGTTCTATCTACTCTAGCCATGTCCTACCTGCCTACAGTCACCACCCAGTTAATGCATGTCATGGATTAATCTACTGATTCAGTTACAACTCTCATCATTTATTACCTCTGAAACTTCTTGTGCTGTCTTATACATGAACTTCTGAGAGATACCAGATATCCAAACAATAACAGATACTGGTTAGGATTTGAAGGAAATTGATTCCTAAAGTTCTCATCACATTTCTCTTTTGAATGGCAGCACAGTCTTCCTCTTCACCAGTGATTTTGAACTACACTGACGCTCGTGCCCCAGGCTATTCAGTGTTAGGCCTAATGCATAATGCCCATGGCTTTGAGCTGGGACAGCATCTGATGTGCAGTAGGTGGGAGATGTGAGTAGACAGCTAACCTACAGGCACCTACGTGGATTCTCTCTGATCCCTTCTCGGACTGCCATGATCACCTACCACCTCACACTTATCCCCATTCTAAAGTTCTATAAGTAACTTTTTAATGAAATCCAAGTTCATTGGTTTTCTAATTACTAAAATTCAAGCTACCCATTATCAAATACCTACTAAGTAGTACCTAATATATTACAGATTAAGTATCCCTTATCTGAAATGCTGAGACCTGAAATATTTTGAATTTCAGATTTTTTTTAATTTTAGAATACTTATATATACATGCTGAAATATATTATAGATGGTACCCTAGTCTAAACAAGAAATTCATTTATGTTTCATAATTTTTTATACATATAAACTGAATGTAATTTTATGTAATATATTTTAGTGTTCCTCACATGAGACCAAGTGTGGAATTTTTTTATTTCCGGCATTATTTTGTCAGATCCCAAAATGTTTTGAATTTTGGAGCATTTCAGATTTTGGATTTTCTTTTTTTTTCTTTTTTAAAGAGAGAGAGAGAGAGAGAGAGAGAGAGAGAGAGAGAGAGAGAGAGAGAGAGAAATTTTTTTAATATTTATTTTTTAGTTATCGGCAGACACAACATCTTTGTATGTGGTGCTGAGGATTGAACCTGGGCCACATGCATGCCAGGCGAGCGCGCTACCACTTGAGCCACATCCCCAGCCCAGATATTGGATTTTCTAACTGGGGATGCTGAACCTGCACATGACTTATAATCTTTTTAACTGAGGGTGATTTAAAAAAAATATTTAGCCAACTATTGTACAAGCATCAACCATTACTAAAACCCTAATGCTGGGTAAGAAGCTATTTGGGTGAATTTTTATTCTAAAAATACTTTTTCGCCTTATAGGTAAACTTTAGGCGATCAAAAATGTCAATTCCTTGTGAAATATAAGGCAATTAGAGTGTCTTTGGAAGGATTCAGGCATGTCCTGAGACCCAGAGGTGATATAAGAACAATAAATGCAGAGCTCATAGTGTGAACCACTCTTTCCAAAAAGAAAAATAAACATCAAGTTCATTTCTCTATATGGGCTGAGAAATAGTAGTAATAGTATTAAATAATATACTCACCTAAAGTTTCTGCTTTGCATGTTTCCTAAATAGACTTGGATGAAGCGCTTCTTCCCTTCTACATAGGAGAATTGTACCATATAGAATATAGTTTTGATTTTTAGAGTAGATTTATATCTTCTTTCTTCTGGTCATTTTATTTGGGTTCTATATATATATATATATATATATATATATATATATATATATATATAAAGACTTCTTCTTTTGTTAGATGTGTGGTATTTAGTTGTAAAAACAAAAACCCACACCTCGTCCCTAGCATTAATTAATAGGCGGCTGTGGTTGTCATCCGTCAGGACTGGGTTGATGTGACCTTTGGAGGTAATCCTTTTTGCTGCTGAAATGTCACCACACAGTTATTAGTTCAGCTTTTGACAGAATGCATTTCATCTGAGGTGAAGTTTGTGGTGGCTTTGTTAAAAGAGAGAGAGAGAGAGAGAGAGAGAGAGAGAGGAAAAGAAAAAAGAATCAAATCTAATATCAAGTGTAATTTATAGAACAGGAAATTTTAGTAGTGGTTCCCAAAGAAACCTGAGGTTTTTAAGAAAAGTTTAATCACTATATTTCTGTTTTATTTTGTTGTTTTATTTCCCACATATTGTCTTTGTTTTTTTCTTAGAAAATCAAATTTTACCAGTATGTCTACAGGATACATTTTAAAATCAACACTCTTACTTTACTTCTTCTAGATGTTTCTATGTTATGTGAGTAATGAAAACAAACTTCAAAAAACAATGGATTTCAGTATGTACATCAGAGAATTAAGTTAAAATGCAGATAAATAAATGTATAGAATCAATTCATAATATATAATTTAGTCATAGTTGACCATTTACCATGTGTGTAATTTTTTTTCAAGGAATAAAATTTTAATTGCATTTTCTTTAAGGGAGGCCCCTTCTATTTTTCTCTAAATTCCTGTCAGCTGATGTGAAGTAGACAGTTTTTTTTTTTTGCCTATTATTTTAAAAGAAATAATGTGCTGTAATTAAATTTAAGGTTAACACAACTTAACATGTAAAAGAAGAAAAATTAAAGATGTTTTTAGAATAGTTGGAAAATCATGGGGATGATGAAAAGTTATTGGCCCAATTATTTGAGTACCTACTTTTGGTTTTGCTGTGGTTTGTTTTTTAAAAATTTTAACACATGTACATTGACTCCTCAAGACCAATTACTCCAATAATGAATATACCAGAGTTGCCAGAGTATATATCCTCTGAACTCCCTTGCTAGGAATATTTCTGTCTGCTTGAATAGAATGCCTGTGTTCATTTCTCTTTCTCTCAGTTGAGAGGGATATTTGAATCTTCCTAGTTATAGGCTCAGTTCTAGCCCTGGGGAACACAGTGATGCAGGAAACAGACATGGATCCTGCATCCTGCTTTCCAAACTTGGGGTGGAGATTGACATTACACAGAGCTCAGGGACTCCTTCTGCAGCAGTCATGTAAATGGGGAACAGTATTTGGGTTTTCTCCATGTGCAGAGTAAGCATGAGAGCTGGGGTTTCCACTGTGCCTCAAGATGTGGTCTCCCAATATGTCAGAGAAGATACCAAAGACTAGATGAAGCCAGGGAACTTGATTTACTGTCTGTCCTTTGTTGACACAGTATCACTCAACTCTAAACTCTAATTGCTCAAATTAAAGTTTGCATGCTTTAAATTAAAATTTTATGATATACACATGTATGTGTATGTGTGTCTTTTATTTTTTAAAAAGAGCCTTAGAGATAGACATAGCTTTTTACCTTTCTCAGAAAAGAATTATAGAAATGGTTAGTTTCTGAGTTTGACTATATTTTCATTAGCATCTAATTACATTTTCAGCATTCCTCAGGCCAAACAGGAGGCTCTATTTTTGTCTTCTTCCATAGTACC